CCATCGCATCCCGGCAGCGCTCGCGGGGGCGGCAGCGCCGGCGCAGCCCCGCAGGGCAGGGCAGGGGCGAATTTCCCTCCTCGCCTGGAGGAAGGCCCCGGGCGCTGATTTCCAGCCCCGCTCCCACGGGGACGGGGGCTGCGGAGCATCCACGGGTGCAAGCCCCATGGCCCAGCCCCAAACGACCACCTGCAGCGGTGCCCCCCGCCCCGCGGGCCCTTGCAAGACTTCTCCGGTTTTTCGGGCATGCCGCTGGATTTTCAAACCCAGCTCGCGCTGCCGTCGTACATCAGAAACCAGGGAAGCAAAGAGGGAGCAAGGCATCGCTACGCGGCACCGCTCGGACTGGGGCCGTTTCTAAAGCAGCGGCAAACGCGATTCCCTCGGAGGCCTGAGAAGGGCTTGTTGTCAGATCGATATTAATGTCTGCTTTACGTTTTGTAAGACTGCCCCAAGACAGAGCTTTAAAATGTAAGGCCTCTGAGCTCATTATGGGATTGAGTCCAGGGCTAAAGAAAAACGCTACAGCGGGAAGCGGTTGCATTAATTGCATTAATGGCTCAGGCTGATGCTCGTCCTTTCCAGAGAGGGACCCTGCCCTGGACTCTGGGCATACGGGAAATTGCATCCTGCGCCCCGGTAAGCCACGCGCCGGGGGGAAAACCCCTCCGTGCAGCCCGACTTACCTGGCTAAGGATATGATCTATACCTGTGGCAGGATTTCGGCTGTGCTCGGAAACGTGGTCAAACCCAGCACGGTTTGCAAAACGGGGAGGCCGCACGCTGCGTCTCAGCTGCAGCTTTCGCTCGACCCCCTGCAAGGCTGGAGGCCTTTTTGGGCTGGGGCTCCGCTCCTGCGCCCAGGCTGAGCAGCGCTCGGAGCGCTTGGCGCCTGCCGTTGCGGCGAGCGCAGGAGGCCAGGTCCACGGGGTGCTCAGGACCTTCCTCGATGTGCTCAGTACCCACTGGAGGGGTTCTTTAATCCTGCACAATCAAGTTCCTTAAAATGATATCGGTGCTCTTCACTCCTAGCTCTCCCCTGCTGCGTTTTAAGGTAACGCGGGAGCAACCCACAGCCTGGGCGCACAGGGAACAGCCTGGGAGCGTTTTCCCTCCACAGGCAGCTTGCTCGGTTCTTTCCCTTTGGCAGGAGCATAAGGAAGCAAACAGGTGAACTCTGTTTCCCGCAGGAACAGCACCCGACCGAAACCACGCCGAGAAGCTCCAACAAGATGCCTTGGAGCCCAGCGACCCCCAAAGGGCCGGGGCGACGTGGGGTCCCCTTGCACAGAGCCGTGCTCACTATCACAGAGGAAACCACCACTTGCAACAGGCAGCTTTAAATACCCATTTAACCGTCAGCCACTTCCTCACCCTGCGTTCAGCAAGGCCGGGAGGTGGTCACCTCCCCGCAGGCGCAGCTAGCATTGCAACGGGCAGCATCGCAATGCAGAATTACTGCGGGTTTAAAGCACTGCTGCGAGTTAAAGGACACGCTGTCCTTGCCATCTTGAACACCATTTCCAGGCAGCGAGCCTCTCTCCGGCCTAGAGTTAGTGTCTGCTAGGAAATGATGCCTAAGCTCCCAAGCAGACAATAATCCTTTAATTTGTTCAGCGAGAAATTAGGGCGGCTGGCTACGTTCCTTCCTTTCCCCGTCGGCCGCGAGCGGTTCCCACGCTGCTCCCCGGGAACGCCGAGGACGGAGCGCTCGGCCCGGAGCGGTGCCCCAGGCAGAGCCCGGCCGGCCACCGCGGGATTTCGCTGGGAATCAGCAGAGCCCTGGCCTCGCAGC